GTTTTATAGTTTCCCCTCTGGTGAACCTATCTTACTTCACACTTTCAAACCTAGAAGAATTAACAACATATATTTCTCCAATTTCAGGTTCAGGTTTCGTTCAGGTTAATATTTAAGGTTCGTTAAATTCTACTTACATGCACATTCCGCGTCTCATTGTCACACATAGTAATGATAGCCACACTAAGTTCACTTCAACGCTCCCGCTCCGAATGAACATGGCACTGAACGAAAGCAATGACCTTCTCAGTTATAGTCGGCGTGCATTCGCAGGGCATGCTGGAATGAGTATCTCAATAGGGGTTCCGCTTCACGACTCACGGCTAAAAATTTGGCTTTTTCATTGACGAAAATATGCACGCGTGTGATGCGTAATTAAGAAGTCTAAGAATTGAATAATATCCTTCTGACGAATGGCAAGGCGTCTTTGATACGGGGATATGTGATCTGCCATCCGTGAATGAAGGACATCTTTCGCAATAAGCTTTCGTTGCTCGATTTACATGATAAAAGTAAGCAACAACTTCATTTTTAATAATGGTTTATGTCAGGAAACGATAAATATTAATTTGGATATAGCAAGTGAAAAGGAACGAGAAAATGTAGCAAAACCAATAACTCAGGTAAATGAATTAAACGATCGGATCCAAGTCGTCGGGTTGAGGTCTTTGATGCGGGAGTTTTAAAGTGTACAAGGAAAATCCCCAAAATAGTATCTAAGTAAGGAAAGACCTTTTCTAACTTTATTAGCAATCTAAAAAAAGATGTCGATTCATATTATAGCGTTCTATTTCGAGCACCATTGGTTTCTTGTCACCAGCTTGATGCACTAAATGAGCGGGAGTTTTAAAATGTACAAGAAAAATCCTAAAAATACTATCTATTAAAGTAAGGAAAGACCTTTTATAACTTTATTAGCAATCTAAAAAAAGATGTCGATTCATATGATAACGTTCTATTTCGAGGGCACCATTGGTTTCTTGGCACACTTAGCGTGACGCTCGGCTCCCGCTCAATTAAGGCCTTTGATGCACTAAATGAGCGGGAGTGTACAAAAAAATCCCCAAAATAGTATCTAAGTTCAATCGGGTCGTTCAAAACCCGATTAGCGCTAATCCTGGGCTAACTCTTAGAAAACCTATGGAGTTAACTCTGGATTTGCCGCTAATCTGGCTTTGACTCATGAAACCAAAGACGAGACTAAAAATCATCCCCTTCACCGGGACAAGCAAATGCCCTCATCTCTCCTTTTGTATTAGAATTACTAAAAACAATGTTTTAATTAAACTGAATGTTTTTATTATCAGTTCTTGATATAAATTGTAGATTGTAGTAAGAAAAGTTCGGTAAATGAGTCTTAGCAAGTAGATAATAGTCGGATAGTAGAAGTTAGATCTTAGAACACACACCCTCTCCGTGTGTAGGAGTTTTGTCTGGACCGTGGTCTTCTTTGCTTCAAGAGCACTTGAACGCTCCCTAATCATCAGTTTTCGAAAAAATGCCATGTCAAACTATGAAAAAAAATATTATAAGTATCAAATATAAGAGACCAATAATGAGCTAAATCAAAATAATTAATCAAATCAATAATTAATGTTTAATCAATTAAGAGACAAACAAAGTTGTAGAAGTGACGTACAGTGTAATTTATAAGTCCACAAGCGAACCAGTAAAAACCTCTTTGATCATAAATGATCTTAACAACTGCATGTCCAGCTATATAAAAAAAACAAATTGGTCAAGTATTAAAATATAGGGGGGCCAATAAAGAGCTAAATCAAAATAATTAATCAAATCAATGTTGATCAATTTATGTAGTTTCAGAAATAATAAATTGTGGTGGGGGGAATAGGATACAGGGACAGGGGAACAAAAGTATACCACCTAAAGGAAACATCAACGTGAGTTTCAAATCTCTCTAACACTCCAAGGGATATCAGGGCACGAGTTTGCGCTCTTTTAGAGTTCAACATTTTGAAAAAGAATTGAAAATATTGCAGAATGGCTTGCCCGACTTATATTAAAGAACAGCATGAACTAGAGCGGATTTCGTATGAGTGGGAAACGGACGGTACTGTACGGTGACCGTAATCGTACTGTGCCCCACTGGTTCACCAAAATTGTGCAGGCCAGGTCCGGTAACTGTGCGGTAACCGTGCGGTAACGGTGTCCCACTCATACGAAATCCGCTCTATACATTCTCCATAGCTAGACAACTTACCTCGAGGTTAATGGAGACCCATTCATCTACCTCAAGGGCATACCCTCTCTCCGCCAGATGGGCATACTGCAGAAATTCCCTGTTGATTTAAATATTTGAAATAAGAATTCTACCTGCGAAAGTTCTTTGAGTGAGGTTTTGTTTTCTTAGACAAATTTGGGGTTCGATAGCATTGGGGAATAATCGCTAAATACATACCACCAGGCTGGTGATTAAAGATATGGTGATTTATTGTAAGGGTTCGGTGGTAAAAATGAAAAGCAAAGTACACTATATTCAATGAATTGCATTGCGACATCTACAGCTTTGATCTCACTTACATGGCTGCTTTTACAATTTTTCCTGATCTGGACAGCTTTTCAAAGAATCCAGGTGAATCATTTGTTTGGCCTTCATATCGATGACCTGGAAAGAGAAACGTGCTTTGTGATGAACTCAACATAAACTATCAAATTATAAATCAACTGACGACCTAAAGCTGTTAATTGAATTTTGCGTTGACTAGGGTGGCTAGTCACCCCCTTTTTACATAGGGCTTTAAAAAAAGAATGAAAATATAAGAAATAACACTAACAGGGTCATGCATTCTGAAAAACAACTAAGCAGTATCCTTAGAAATTACATTTTCTCAAGTCTAAATCTATCCATTTCATATATATGGAGTTAGTTCTCCACTTTGTAACGTTTTGGAACTTCCCTCACACTACAGTGTAGTGAATAAAAGTTTACAAGTTAATTCTTTAGCGTTAATCTCTAGGATCAAAATGATCGACACAAAAATCACTGCAAAAATCGCCGCGGTTATATATACTTAGAGGATCCTACAGGATGGGCGTGGCTAACAGTGAAGAACTGCATTGCACACGTTTTGCATTGAAAAATATTAGAACCAGAATAGCTAGGAACTCATCAAGTATTGTCGAAAACTCCACTGAAAACAGCTTCTTTACAATAACATAATTTCGATATTCCGGTTGACTAAGCACGCACTAAAGAATTGAAGAGGGGTCTACGAGGAAACAATGGAAAATCCTTTTGTTCCCCTAACCAATGTCCTTGCAGTTCTTTTGTGCATGAACATTCGAGCAAAATATCGAAAATGGACTTTTGAAGACGAGGGTAGTTTAGAATAATAATAGTTAGCCCTTTCAATTGTGCAGGACCATTCAATGATAATTATAGGGAAGTAGTCGGGAAAGTAGTACGCTAGAATTCTCCACACTTTTATAGTAACAGTATATGAGTTTCTTGTCATGGAGTCTGCCCTTTCATAACATGAGATTAGTCCACAAATAAAAAGAGGTTTAAGGGACACTATTTGTTCATAAATCATACTTACAATGTCCAGTATGGCAATTTCTGCCTTGATGAATCTACGCTAGCAAAGAAAAGATAAAGTGTTTAACAAGCACAACAACATTTTATACACTGATTTTGAGCGTATCTCAAAAGTGCGTACCACAATTCCTTGAAGGGTGTACAATGCACTCTCCCCGTCCATTGGAACATTGGAACATGCATGGTGAACTCCGCGTGGTTATATAGCCCATGCATATAATAATAAATGTTGATGAATCGAGCCTTGAGCCTGACCCTGTTATTTGAAACGATTTCTTGAAACGACTCGCTTTTATATGATCAGTGCGCAAAGTAGAACGGTTGGTTGAGATTCTTTAATAATTACTGATATCGATCGTAACCCATTGTTTTCCCTCTGCATTAAATCAACGAATGCAGTCAGAAACAGGATATCGAACTGTCAATATTGAAATATTGCTGTCTGCTTGCCTACAGACAGCAATATTGAAAATATTGCAGAATGGCTTGCCGGACTTAAAGTATTAAAGAACACCATGATCTATGCATTCTCTATAGCTATAAGACAACTTACCTTGAGGTTAATGGACACCCATTCATCTACCTCAAGAACATACCCCCTCTCTGCCAGATGGGCGTACTTCAGAAATTCCCTGTTGATTTAAATATTTGAAATAAGAATTCTACCACAGAATACTTCTTTGGCGAAGTTTTGTTTTCTTAGACGCACAGATTTGGGGTTTGATATCAGGGAAATGATCGCTAAATAAATATCACCAGGCTGGTGATTTTACTGATGACCAAATGTACTAAAGACATGGTGATTTATTGTATATTATATAAAGGCTCCGTGGCCAAAAGTAAGTACAATATTCAATAAGTTCAAGTGTTATTTACTCTGATCTACTGCTAGTATTTTAAAACAAAAATCATGGTATTCTCATTATTAAGGCTCTTTAAGCTAACTTACATGGATTCTTGTACAATTTCGTGGTCTGGACATCCAGACAGGGAATCCATATGAAGTATTTCTTTTGCCCTTATATCTATAACCTGCAGGAGAGAGCAATGCGCTTTTTACTATCAAATTATAAATCAGCTGACAACCTAAAGCTGTTAATTGAATTTTGGTTTGACTAGAGTGGCTAGTCACCCCCTTTTTACATAGGGCTTAAAAAAAGATAGAAAAGACAAGAAATAAATTTAACAGGAATGCATTCTGAAAAACAACTAAGCAGTATCGGATTCCTTAGAAATTACATTTTCTCAAGTCTAAAGCTATATCCGTTTGATATATTTTCTTGAGCTAGTTCTTCACTTTGTAACGTTTTTGAACACCTACTGTGTAATAATAATAAGTTTATTGAACACTTCTTGCRGTTAAAAACTGAATAAACAGTGCAAAATACAATTCTTAAGAAGCAACATATAATTAATTACAATGCAAAATACAATTCTTAAAGCTATATACAATTAATTACAATATCTAAAGGTAACAAAGTCCGAGGTTCTTTTAGTTTCAATAGTTTCTTTTAAATTTCCAGTTGATCTAAGGTTATAGTTAATTGTTTTTATTGTTGGCTTCGGTAGAAGAAACGAAATAGGGTGACTAGGATCGTTTCTCATCTCAGTGGTCAGCTTCTGACATAATTTATCTCTACGGCTATGCAAAGTTGGAATGTTCGTTTGGCTCAAAGCCTGCGTATAGGTGCTACCACGGTATATGATCTTCAGTTCTCTTTTCTGGATGGACTCAAGGGCATCAGAGAGTTGCTGGGATATGTCTTGCCATACAGGTGCTGCGTACTCCAAAATTGATCTAACATTGGATATATAGACTTTAAGGATATGCTCAGGTGGTACATTTGCACGTTTTAGAAGTTGTAAAGCATATAATCGTTTGGAAGCTTTGGCAATTATATATTCAACATGTTTGTTCCATTTAAGATTCTCACTAATTATAACACCTAATAACTTAAAGGACTTTTTCCACTTGGTGACTACCAATGCAGATTGGGCGCATTACAATGTTAGGGTTTAACATGAAATTGATGTACATTTCTTTGCATTTTTTGGGATTTAATATCATTCTGTGATCTTTGCAGTAGTCGTGGATTTATCTGGCAACTAGATCTAACATACTGATAGAGTTTCGTGGGATGATTTCCACAGCGGTGGTATCGTCTACAAACTTTGTGCGTAGTTTCCAGTTTCTTAGTAGTTTCTTAGTTAGTTTCTTTGTAGTGAATAAAAGTTTACAATTCTTTAGCGTTTATCTCTAGGATCAAAATGATCGACACAAAAATCGCTGCGGTTATTTATACTTAGAGGATCCTACAGGATGGGCGTGGCTAACCACCCCTAATGGATCCTCCCTTGCCCTCGGCTACTAAAATTTCGTTTCACTGAAACTTACCACAAGGGTCCAATGACTGTTCCTATTGAATGGCAAGAGCACTATTTCATTGGCAAAAATTCGATAAGGTCTGTAAACAAAGACAGTTATAAGTTATTTATTCACGATTATATAAACTTCACTTAAATACCAGCTAATCTTTCATGCAAAGAAAGGATATCTTTACATAATACCTGTTTCTACCTTGACTTATACATATAAAAGATGGTTATTTCAATAGTTAGAACATAATATCTCGTCTCAATTGAGCACTCGAAGAAAAAATTTGTATCTCCGCGCGCCAATATGACTGTGACTGACGCTAGCCAAGACTATAATTATATTATTACAGTACCGTGGCTGGAAATGTTGCACAGTGTAAGTAAACATTTAAGACATTTAGTCAACGAAGAAAATATGGCATTAAAACTAGTCAGGTTGAGAAACTACAAACCTCCTTTCTTGTTTTTTTATCAAGGTAACTATTCTTTGAAAAGTCTGGATCCTAAAAGAGTAACAAAAAAGGATAAAGCATTTTGATCTAACATGGATTTTATGCATTCACTCAACTCATAAAATGTTTATTTAATACCTTTGTATCCGATGACAGAGTTTCTTGTCTGATTTCAAGCTTCTGTCATAAAAATTCAATCACATATAGTAAATTAAAATTTTGGTTTTATTTCAGGGCACTGCCGAATAGACTTACATACTTTTTGATGAGACGACAATATATATCGCAAGATGTAGCAGTTTTCCTGAAAATATAAAATATAATCAAAGAGTGAAAATACTGAATTAAATGGTTGACTAAAGGCACAAAAAAGATCTAACAGAAAAAACGTGTTAGTGAATCTCCAAATTATACAAACAAACTATAGTTTTTTTTGACAAACTGTGTTGAATGGAGCAGTATGTAAGGCTCAACAAAAAGTTAAAGAAGGCCTTTTTACTTGGGTAAAATTGCATAGGACAGAAAACAAAGTAGAAATTAGCAATATGAATAGACTGCCCGCTTACTTTTAATAATATTTGATTATTGTACAGACTGTCTATATTATATTCACAAGGGAAGATCCAGGGGGCATGTATTGGGTGACTAGCCACGCCCTCTTTAATTTGAAAAATATATATATATATTTCATATCATACAGGTTTGTTGAAAAGTCCGAAATATTATAGGTGTGCCCGAGATGATGATGAACAATAATTTCAAAGAGCCCTAAATAGTCCAATCGATTGTAACGTACTTTGATATTAAATTTTAATGTTATCCACCCTCTGAAAAATCCTAGTGGATCCGCCCCTGATTCAGTCAACTGATTCATATTTTTAAATGTACTTACCTTGATTATGTTTGTATTCAGATACGAGTCGCGAACTCTACAAACGACTTCATCATCGCAGTAAACCCAGTCGTCATCGCCGTCATTATCATCTCTGACTAAAGCTGTATCTAGAGAAATCATATGTGAAATTATAAAATGATGCAATTAAATTAAACAGGTTCATCTCCGTTACACTACCACCCAAATCCATCCAACTAATAATAAATCAACTTTATCAACTAGGAACTCATCATGTATTGTCGAAAACTCCACTGAAATCAGCTTCTTTGCGATAACATAATAAAATTTCGATATTTCGGTTGACTAACGTACCACACACTAAAGAATTGAAGACGAGTCTACGGGGAAACAATGGAAAATTCTTTTGTTCCACTGAACAATGTCCTCGGTTCTTTTGTGCGTGAACATTCAAGCAAAATAGACAGCAAAATATCGAAAATGGACTATTGAAGACGAGGGTAGTTTATAGAATAGTGATAGTTAGCCCTTTCAATAGACTTCTGAACCGTTTACGTCACACTTGATTTGAAATGCATTGTGGGATCAGTTTCTAGAGAAAACAAAAGAAATCCGCCATTTTCTGCCCCAAACCCCGGGGGGGGGACTCCCTAATATCAAAGGGCGGGGGTCCTCGGCGTCCCTTTTAGGGTTTGAAATCAGTATTTTGGTCCCGCTTAGGGTGATCATGACAAGAATTTCTACCAACTATGTTTTGTGGTCCCTTTTAGGGTATACGGCGACCCTAAGCAGTTATAAAATGGCAACGTCGTCATAAACTCAATACGAGCCGACGGTGTTCGATGATTGTGTAAAACACAAATAAAATCGGTAAACCAAAACAAAATGACCTTTTATTGATTGGTCCCTTTTAGGGTTGAAATTTCAGCACTGCCACGCCCATCATCTCACAATAGAGGTCCCTTTTAGGGGTCATTTTCACAATCTCCGCCGAGGACCCCCGCCCTTTGATATTAGGGAGTCCCCCCCCCGGGCCCCAAACATGTCGTAAAATGCATTGCGTWTACGGTACATGACGTAAAAGCTGCAGAGGTCTATTGTGCAGGACCATTCAATGATAGTTATGGGGAAGTAGTCGGGAAAGTAGTACACACACACTTTTATAGTAACAGTATATGAGTTTCTTGTCATGGAGTCTGGCCTTTCATAACACGAGATTAGTCCACAAATAAAAAGAGGTTTAAGGGACACTATTTGTTCATAAATCACACTTACAATGTCCACTATGGCAATTTCTGCCTTGATGAATCTATGCGAGCAAAGAAAAGATAAAGCGTTTTAACACAACAACATTTTATACACTGACTTTGATCTCATAAATGCTTACCACAATTCCTTGGAGGGTGTACGAAGCATTCTCCCCGTCCACACTTAATTGATCCGGAATGTAGAGTTTTCTATAAGGTAACAGGAAAAAATAGACAAAAATTCCATTGTTAACGAAAATCTTGTTAAAGTGAATTCAATGCAAAACAAAACAAAATGTACCTTTCGATATTGATTGGTCGACAATTTTTCTTTTCTAGCCCATATCTCATCATAATTAAAAAAAGTGTGGACGGGAAGAGAAGAATAGGCCTAACCCTACCGGTTTTAGTTTTATTCTGGCATCTTTCGCAGTACCTGCCAACAAAAATATAGTAACAAATTTACACTGGAATAATAGTACATGATGGAGAGTCCCTGGTACCATTGTTTCTCACTTGTAGAAAAACATTTGCTCCATCCGAGAACGTAAAATATTCGATTAAAGTTATTTCATTTTATTAATGGATATTTTTTGCTTGTATACATGGAATAAATGGTTATAAACTCTTGATATATCAGATAAAAGGACATAAAAGAAAATGAGCAATATCAAACATTATTGCACAAGAATCGACAGAGTTAAAAGATCACAGATAACGAAATATTGAACTTAAACTTTGATGAAGCAATTATGATCTTATAATGGAATATTATTAATGATGCCTTTTTTAAAGTAAGAAGCAAAAGCTGGATGAAGCACAGTCAAATAAAGAGACGTCCTTATGGATTTGAGAAAGTCTGAGCACAGAAAGTAAAGAGGGAAAAGTGAAGATTGATTTCTTGTTGCATACACCTAATTGAAAAAACGTAGTCGTGTTCGAAAAGATCACATCATAGAAGCTAAGACCGAAAGGGATTTTGAGTACCACTAAATTGGTATACACCTAATTGAAGAAACGGTTGTCGGGACCAAAAAGGTCAAATCATAGAAGCTAAGCCGAAATGGTACTTGGGAAGACAAACAATTTGGCTAATTTCATGACAAACAGCTCTCCAGCATAAGAGACTGTCATGATTGTTAATCTTACTTAGCTCTACTTGCTTAGTGTAATCCCTTTCAGTCTTATAGCTTCTATGATGTGATCTTTTCGAACACGACTACGTTTTTCAATTAGGTGTATCATGAAAATGACATGGATTGCATTGACAAGAAATTGCCCTTAATCATGTATCAGCTTCTATTTTGTTCTAATTTTTTCTTTAACGATTTTTTAAAAAGAAAATTTATTCTGGACAGAGATAATAGAATTAATAATGTTTAATTGCAATATTGTAACTCACACTTTGTTTTGGCCGTCGAGTATTTCGTCCTCGAAATATTGTTTCATTGCCTCATTAATTGTTGGGGCAACCGGCAGGGTTAGGCCATTGAATTCCTCGATATCACATTGTGTCTGTGATGTACAGATAATGTAGAAATGTTATTAATACTTTTTGCAATCATGTCTATTTAGCAAAAGGATATTAGACTAATACAGCTATTTCAAAAGAAATTGAGACATGACCCAAATGGCTTACGCTGTTTGACATGCAAAATTTCAACAGATCTTAAAGTTATTCAGTATTTCCAACAAATTAAAGCAAAACCCAAGGCTCCTTCGTGTAATCTCCGCTCGGCAACTTAAATTCGCCATGTGCATCTAATGACCTTTTGAAATAGTTATATGTCCCATACCCCATGGAAACAGAAAAGACTTTTACTAATAATGCAATTGCAATGCAAACTTCTTTTTAAGATTGATACCTGGTCATCACAAACAAAACATGTTTGTCTCGGGCTACACGCCCCCATGAAGACTTGCTGTGATTTTGGTAGCTGAAATGTTGGAAAATAGCAATCACTATCAAACTGTGAACTTTATTATCGAGTTTGCGTAACACACTTGGATGTTAACTGTGTATCTAAGGCCTATTTTTTCTTTGATTGAGGTACCTCAAGAAGACCGAGAATAGGCTTGAAACACAATTCTTTTTGCTTTCACAAGTATACCCGTATCCTATGAGCCACATGTGCACGGGACCGAAATAATAATAAAAATAATGAAATCATTCCCTGGAATCATCTCGCCTCCCAGAAACTCTTAACTCACTGAGGCGAAAAAAGTACAAACCTTGGCAAAAATATTTAACAAAATGTCAAGGCACTCGTGAGCGTCCTGCTTTCTGCCCACTTCAAAGGACCTGTTATGCCTATTGACTATTTTCTGGAAAAAAAAAAATATATATATAAGTACATTATAAAAGTAGAAAACCTAGTTACAAGTTGCGTGGCTTTTTCTTCAATTTATTCTATTTAT